CTTTACAATTTAACATGGAGTTGAGTCGTTTGAGGTAGATAATTATTTCATCTTTACAAGTTAACGTGGAGTTGAGTCGTTGGAGGTAGATAGTTATTTCATCTTTACAAGTTAACGTGGAGTTGAGTCGTTGGAGGTAGAAACTTATTTCATCTTTACAAGTTAACGTGGAGTTGAGTCGTTGGAGGTAGAAACTTATTTCATCTTTACAAGTTAACATGGAGTTGAGTCGTTGGAGGTAGATAATTATTTCATCTTTACAAGTTAACGTGGAGTTGAGTCGTTGGAGGTAGAAACTTATTTCATCTTTACAAGTTAACGTGGAGTTGAGTCGTTGGAGGTAGATATTTATTCTATCTTTACAAGTTAACGTGGAGTTGAGTCGTTGGAGGTAGAAACTTATTTCATCTTTACAAGTTAACGTGGAGTTGAGTCGTTGGAGGTAGAAACTTATTTCATCTTTACAAGTTAACATGGAGTTGAGTCGTTGGAGGTAGATAATTATTTCATCTTTACAAGTTAACGTGGAGTTGAGTCGTTGGAGGTAGAAACTTATTTCATCTTTACAAGTTAACGTGGAGTTGAGTCGTTGGAGGTAGAAACTTATTTCATCTTTACAAGTTAACATGGAGTTGAGTCGTTGGAGGTAGATAATTATTTCATCTTTACAAGTTAACGTGGAGTTGAGTCGTTGGAGGTAGAAACTTATTTCATCTTTACAAGTTAACGTGGAGTTGAGTCGTTTGAGGTAGAAACTTATTTCATCTTTACATTTTAACATGGAGTTGAGTCGTTGGAGGTAGATATTTATTCTATCTTTAAATGTTAACGTGAAAATGGAGAATCACCTTTTTTTAATTTCCAATTCTTAGCTCCTCTTTTCATGTCCTGTTCACGACATCACGTTTACAATTCCATAATGAAAGGAGAGCAAAATGTCTCAATCTTGACTATGTAACCTTTATCATTGTCCATTGTAAACAAATGCCGTTTTTGTCATTCCCGTGCTTATTAGATCATTTTGAAATTAATTTTGTTACAATTATATTGTATGAATGTTTTGTCAATACAGGCTTAAAACCCTTTCTAACTGTTCGAATACTTCAACCATGCTAGTTAGTATTGAATTTGATATCAGTCTATATGTGTTTATCCAACAATATGGGCTCGGTTCATTTAATTACCTCATCACTATATATTTAGTATTTATATAATTTCTAAAACCTTATTAAGAATCGGAGTATTGGCGTTCACTTTTTTTCCCCATCGATACCCCACCCCAACTATTTATTGTATTTATGGCGTTTTTGTATTACCTTATGTCATACATTACTCAAAATCCCGAAACCGAGCCCCTGTGAATGTGAACCCAACATTTCTCCTTAATTGAACAGGAAGTTGACATATAACAGTAATTAAGGAGACTAGTCATATGTGTTTATGATACAACAATAAAAAACAACACACTCATTATATACCTGTACAGTAAGACCTAATGGTACTTATACATATAGTTTGAAACATTTCAATGTATACAATGAATTGATTTGCACATATCATCTATCAGAATCAGATTTCCATATGTATATCAGTATAAGATTTCCATATATATATCAGAATCAGATTTCCATATATGTATCAGAATCAGATTTCCGTGTATCATCCGTCAGAAAAATTACTCTTAAGTTTCTAAGTATGTGCGTGACTTAGGAAGACGATAATCCTTGTGTAGTCATCGGAAATTCCTACTGAACTTTATAACAGGAATCTATACATAGATAGGTCTCCGCTTGTGATGAATTAAAACTTCTTCAGTACAGTTTTGCAATATTCTTAATGTGAACTGTTTTGCATAACTTTTTTTTCCAATTTATTGAAAAACAATTTCATGGACATCATATATCTTGTATGATATATATACTCCTATTATATATTGGAAAATTTGTACAAAATGTTATATCAATGTGGGATACCCGCGAAAAACAAAATGACACTTCAGTACCTAGTGTGGGATTCTTGCACGAATCCCTGCACGGATTGTCCCATGTGTTGAATTCATGAGAACATTAATTCGCCTCAAGGGAATGCTGTTCCATTCTTGTGTTGATGCTGCGATCAACTGGGCGCGGTTAGTTTGGGGGTTTTGACATTTCCTGATACACCTGTCCAGTTCATCCCAAAGATGTTTAATGGGAGACATGTCAGGGCTATATTGGGGCCATTCAAGAGGCTGAGCATTGTTTACTGTGAGAAAATCAAAACAGACTCTGGCAACATGCGGTCGAGCATTGTCTTGCTGGAAAATTAGGTTATGACATCTGAGAAGTGAAGGACATGTTGTTGGAGGATCTGGTCTCTGTATCAATGCTTGGGACTAGGACCACTCCATGGGAGATGGCTTCCCAAAGCATTAAAGAAGCCCCACCGAATATATCGCGTTCAATCACGCATGCGTCTGCGAAACGCTCACCGCGTCTGCGATATACCCTTTTTCTTCCGTCTGAGCGATACAGATAGAATCTGGACTCGTCGGTGAACATCACACACCTGCACCGACGCATCCCAAACCTATTTGGGCCCTATTTGAGCATCCAGTCAAAACGCACTTGTCGCCTCTGTGATGTTAGAGGTGGCTCGACATAAGGTCGGCGCGCAATGGTTCTCTCGGCACACAAGCAATTCCTGGCATTTTGAGCACTAATGGGTCTGCCAAGAGTATCTAAGGTATGCGACGCAGTCTCTTCAGTAGTCCTGAATTTGTTGCGCAAGTGTGACAATCGAATCGCCATGTCTTGTCGGGCAGCCGTTACATGCGGACGACCGCTCCTGGGACGATTGGAAACTAACCCAGTAGCATGGAAACGTGTATAGAGACGGTTAATTGTACAGAGGGCAGTGACAAACCGTGCCTTTCGACAGCAGTTTGTCTGTGACCATCCATCAACATCGCAGTTGCTCTACTCCTCTGAATTTGCGTTATGCGTGGTATATCGGTCAATGGCGAAATGAAAATGCCAACGTGGAAAAATTAATGCGGCTTAACTTAGTATCCGTTGGAATTATTCGTTTGGAAAAATCCGGTTTGGCTTGATAACGCCGCGAGGTTTGGACTAAAGAAAGAAGCTCACAAAGTCAGACAATGACATCGTCACACTTGGCTAACTTTAGGGTAGATTGTCGAGAAGGGAGATCATTCTTAATATTATACCCGACGAAATATTCCATAACTTCCTTACAGCTAAGGTGTACTACAGGGGTAAACTTTTTTGCGTTTCTTTTTTGTTGAGTATATGCATCACTATAGGATACCCAATGAAGAGTGAAATCCACCGATCTTACCATATATCAATATATCCCTGCTTGTATACAGTGTAATGAATATATTATAATAGTTTGTGTTATTATTGAATAAATAATGTATTATAATCTATTTAACTGTTTTTGTTGTATACTACAACAAATGTAAATCATACATTTGTCAATGATTTGTTTATTTATTATTTTTTGTATAGGATTATATAAATATATAGACTATCAGAAACCTTAATGTATTTACTGCTAACCTTTCTTGACCTTGAAAATAATCCAAAACAGAGGGGTATCAGATCCATAGAGCTACTCGCCATATACAAACAGAGGGGTATCAAATCCATAGAACTACTCGCCATATACAAACAGAGGGGTAAAATCCATAGAACTACTCGCCATATACAAACAGAGGGGTATCAAATCCATAGAACTACTCGCCATATACAAACAGAGGGGTATCAAATCCATAGAACTACTCGCCATATACAAACAGAGGGGTAAAATCCATAGAACTACTCGCCATATACAAACAGAGGGGTATCAAATCCATAGAACTACTCGCCATATACAAACAGAGGGGTATCAAATCCATAGAACTACTCGCCATATACAAACAGAGGGGTATCAAATCCATAGAACTACTCGCCATATACAAACAGAGGGGTATCAAATCCATAGAACTACTAGCCATATACAAACAGAGGGGTATCAGATCCATAGAGCTACTCGCCATATACAAACAGAGGGGTATCAAATCCATAGAACTACTCGCCATATACAAACACAGGGGTATCAGATCCATAGAGCTACTCGCCATATACAAACAGAGGGGTATCAGATCCATAGAACTACTCGCCATATACAAACAGAGGGGTATCAGATCCATAGAACTATATACAAACAGAGGGGTCGCCATATACAAACAGAGGGGTATCAGATCCATAGAACTACTCGCCATATACAAACAGAGGGGTATCAGATCCATAGAGCTACTCGCCATATACAAACAGAGGGGTATCAGATCCGTAGAACTACTCGCCATATACAAACAGAGGGGTATCAAATCCGTAGAACTACTCGCCATATACAAACAGAGGGGTATCAGATCCATAGAACTACTCGCCATATACAAACAGAGGGGTATCAGATCCATAGAACTACTCGCCATATACAAACAGAGGGGTATCAGATCCATAGAACTACTCGCCATATACAAACAGAGGGGTATCAGATCCATAGAATAGAACTACTATCAGCCATATACAAACACAGGGGTATCAAATCCATAGAACTACTCGCCATATACAAACAGAGGGTATCAAATCCATAGAACTACTTGCCATATACAAACAGAGGGGTATCAGATCCATAGAACTACTCGCCATATACAAACAGAGGGGTATCAGATCCATAGAACTACTCGCCATATACAAACAGAGGGGTATCAGATCCATAGAACTGCTCGCCATATACAAACACAGGGGTATCAAATCCATAGAACTACTCGCCATATACAAACAGAGGGGTATCAAATCCATAGAACTACTCACCATATACACATGACTGGAATGAAAAGAGCAGGAATTAGCTACAATGTTCCCTAAATCTGTGTGCTATGTGTTCAGCATCAAGCTGAATAATGAGAAAGACCATTTTTTGTTATTTCAATTTTATTTCAAGTGATTAAAGTATTGACCCTCTTTACATTATTGATCATTTACATTTTCAAACTATTAACTGAGAAAGCAATATAGATGTATACAAAGTCACATTTAGTACACATATGTACAATCTGACATAACTAAAATATTTCATACAGATATAACTAAAAACGAGTTAGTATATCTTGGTTCATAGTTTATCTCATACATGATTATCCTAAACAGAACAATTTCCCGACCTTACTGTTCAGTTTTACAAATCAGGGGAGCCTCTTTCTCGCTTGAAAACACCACGTATCACTATAAAACACTAATAGAAACCTGTTCTCTTTATACACACCATATCACACGAAGCAGTTCGCCAATGACATGAAATTAAATTATCACACTGTAATTAAAGCATACTCTCTCGTATTCACTGTTACACACTGTAGTTAGGTTCAGCCCTTTTCTTAGTTCTGCTATATCTATAATAAAAGAGAAACTGAAATTCCCCTACATTTATTATGGAGACCTGTTTTAGTGTCAGTTTGATGTTCCTGAGCATATTGTCTCTAGGGTTGATAGGGGGACAGCCTGGACTCCTTTTTCGCCTGACATGTTTTGCTTTCATAAGAGCTCAGGGAGACAGGTGATATCTTATCAAAAACTGGAAAAAAAGTTTCCTGATGTGGTTTACAAAGTAGTTAAATAGTAGTCATCATTATCTAATCACATGTTATGTCCTTGTGCAATATAAAATTTGAAGCTTGTTCAAATACCTTTTTTTTAAAGATTGCAGATCTTACATTCTGAACATGATATTAACTGGTTCTAGGTTTATACAGCAGGATTTGTTGATAAAGCAGGAGATAACATGATTTATCTGCTGTCTCCTTCTAAGCCTTCCTTATTAAGCAATTTTGACCACATCTTTTTTAGAATCACAATTTCATTCACAATCGCTTACTTCTTGTTTTTTTGTTTTAAATAGCATCGACATTGAATATTGAAAATATTGAGTAAAACTTTATATAGATCTTCTTTCATAATTGGACTGTAAATTATGAATTTATTAACTTTGTTTAACAAACTACTAGCATATGTACACATACCAAATATTCGTATTGAAAATTAAATTCAAATATCATAAGTGTCCGACAACATTCAAAAGGTCTCTTTTTCACTTCAGTTAAATTCTGTTGATGTCTTGCACTTGGTTTGCCTTCTATCAATATAATACAAGAACAGTACAACTTGACACCACGAACATGGAGTATATAAGCCTGATTTTTTGTAATTAAATTAAAAACAAATACGAATAGAAACCTAAATTTTATAAATTATAAGTTTTACAATTGAATAATGTACAAAGTGAAAACTACAGAAAAAAAACGTTAAAAAAAGCAGGCCACTACCTATATCAAATGTCTATAAAAATCAATGTACTACACTGTTCTTAAATTCAACACATTCCTTTTCAGTTTAGTTTTACAAACAAGTACATACACATGTACACATGTTCAAACATGGTGCCAGTAACTATGTGGGACTTTAATTTGTCACAGAACACAGATTAATGTTATGGGTTTTATTTCCACAGAAGTGCAGTTGTCCAGCCAGAAAAAACGACACAGAATATACTTGTCAAGACATCAGAAAAACTTTACCACACAAAGACATTTCAACATCTTGTATACTGACCTGACTCAAGACAAAGGTGTCTGACCATCATCAAGTCATGTTTACCTAATCTAGGTCAGTTGTTGTTGTTTATAAACAGGACATGTAATTCTGTATGTTGGATGTATTACAAATGATATATCTACACATAAAAACATTGAAACCATATTTGTCACATTTGAGAAATACTTACTAAGCTCCCCAGATATATATATAAGTATCTCATACTTTTTTTTATAATTCCTGTTATGAATCAATCTTTTAAAATTTATAAGCTTAAAGAAACATTAAGCAACATTTTTCCTTGTCTTACATTCATTCATTATTTACATACATTCATATAATAAAGAAAGCTTCAAAATATGGAAAGCATTCATCTTGTCATGCTCTCATACCACTCAAAAAAATAAATATACTTCTACATGATCCATATCATAATGACAGAATAACTACAGGTAAACTTGATTATATTTGATGCTTCGACATGTGCTGATTATGTCTCAAGATGATCAATACACAAAGGATCATCCCATCTTATGATTTACACTGAAATGCTGTACACACAATAGTCCACCAGGTGGCACTGTGTGTGGTCTGTGTGACAAATACAGCACAAGGTGGTACTGTAAAACCCACCTGACCAATACAATACCTGGTTGTAATGTAAAGACCACATGACCAACATATTGCCAGGTGACACTATGTAGCTTACGTGACCCGATAGTGGTAGAAGTTACACAGTCCTCGACTGAAGTTCCAGCCAATCACAAGCGAGAGAATGTACAATAGCACTACCCCTGTCAAGGGGAATAACAGTGTCCGTGTGTTTCTTAAAAATGGGAGAGCTGAGAGGAAAAAGACAAACAATAAATGACATTGCTATAAATATCTAGACATGTACAACACAAATACTTATAGATGTTCAAAGAAATTAACTTAGAATATGTAAACAAAACATGTTGTCTGTTTTATATGAAATTTTAATCACTCTCAAATACATCTTTAATTTATGTATAACAAGCCAGAATGACAAATCTTAAGACCAGAAATAAAATAAAACAACGTATATTTTAATTAATTTCTATGTTCTAGTAGTACATCCAGCTATAGACATTTTGATATTTTGGTTTAGCACTTGTCATGACAAGATACTTTCAGAAGAATCAGCAGACAGGAAATGTTTTAAACAAATCACATACATATACCCCAAGCATACTAATCCACAAAAGTAACAATTTTTACCTTGTTATCTTCTAACCGAATAAAATCTATTTTACCTTTAACTATGTCTATATTTCATTTAGCTATACAACACATTTTCTATACAGTATAAGTTCATTTTTCTTATTTACAAACAAAAGATAAACGATTATCCAGATCCCTTGATGTTCATATGTGAAAAATTGTAAGATCAATCTTTTTCCATATTTGTAACGGTCTCTTTCATAAGCTGACTTAAATAGAGCAGTTTAAACAAGATGCAGTCTCAGCACCATATTAGCACAGCCTGTTATTTTACAAAAACTGATACTTACCACTGTAACCTAAAAATGTGATGTAGACATAATAAAATATGGCCACCAACCAAAATGTGTTCCCAATTAATAATCCTATGAAATGGTCCTGGTATATCAGAGCTGAAAATAAAATATAAATACTTGGTTATCAGAAAACACACAATAAAAAGCATACCTTATTGATTGGATAAGTCATTCAAAGAATGGTTTTGTTGTTTTTATAAAGGACTTCACATACTCTAATGATGCTTCACAAAACAGATTAATATGAAATATAAATTTGATGTTTACCATGATCCTGTATTCATTTCACACCAATAAAAGAAGATGACAACGACAAGATACACCAGTTTACCTTGGGATAAGTTACTGTGGACAATTGTTGACAAGTAACAATGAAATGGACAGAAGTATCACTTTAACAAGACAAGGGCCAGTTTTCTTAAGGGAGTAGAATCATCAGTTTACTTACGAACAAGGAATATGAGTTGAAACAGGTGAAGTATCATAAGGAGAGGAAAGAAAGCATTAAGATGGACATCAAAGGCATATCCCCACTCCACATCCTGACCTCGAGGTGGGGCAAGGATCATATACTTATTGGTGATAAACCTGTAAAACAGTGTAAGTATCAATTGCCTGATGATTCAGCAAATCACTAAATACAATATAGCAAGCAATTTTCTAGACACACACCACAGTGACAATAATTAGGATAGTCATCAAAACTAGTGATAAGACCAACAATGATATTTTTTCTTGCATTTAAATTTCCAGAACAGCAAGATTCTACTGTATTGTCATAAAATGAATTAGGGACTGGCATATATGAAACCTCCAGAAGGATTTTATAGAATACACACAAGTAAACAACACTTTTCAATATAAATTTGATATTTGATACAGCATATGAAACACAAACACAAAATCTTCATCTGATTAAAGTGTTTTTTATCATTATTCTTAACCAAAGCCATGTGCAATTCTTAAAAAAATTTAAATGATACGTAAGATATCTTACCAGAATAATGTAGCTATAAGCAGGCCGACACCAACACAGTCCACAAACACAACCCACAGTATAAACTTCAGGAACCCCACAAATGTAAGTCCCAGGACCAAGGCAAATCCTATAGATGATGCTGTAACAGAAACAAGATTTAATCATAAAACAAACCAGACATCATAATATCACTAAGTCTTCTCATCAATTAAAAAATAAAACATTATTGAACTCATCAGAGTACAAAGTATGACAAATTTCACTTCAGATTCAACAATGTTGCAATATATTTGATGAAAAATTTAACAGATGTTGTAATCTTTTTCTGATATAACAAAAGACTCTGTTGACAGGTATGTTTAATCACAGTCGTTTATCTACTGTAATTGCTGTCTAAAGATTTAATACTGTTGATTGAACTATTACACTTCAATATTAAGGTTTGAGTTGTTTGACTTTTTGATACTTATCTTTTATAAGATGGAAATTGTAATTTGTCAAAATCATCTTGGTATAATATAAAAATATTCATGAATCACGCAATACACACCCTGATGACAGTAGCACATAGTTATATATATTCTGATACTTACCAACCAACCAAAAGCTCAACAGCACCAGAAATGCTGGATCATCCCTTGCCCACTGATCTTTTGTGTCTGTAATGAGGGTGTACTTTATATTAAATGCTGTATTCTTATTACTTTTCAGCAGAATTACTAACAAATGTCTAAATATGTCACTGTTCAGTGTTAAGCCCACCTAACCCCTGACTTCAAGTCGGAGGAATCATACATAACATTTTTCTGAAACTTCTAAACTTATTTACAACAATTTTCAAAACAAGCAATCAGCTTATATAAATCACTCTTGTTGATCCAGCTATAATACATGAGGGGTCTTCATGTGGGAGTGGCTAAGGAAAATCCACATGACCAGTCTGGTGGCCCCAATACCATTCCATGTCCTAGTTGCAGGGTGAGTGCACCAGTGGACCAACAGTGATTGGCCTATACACCATAGTATGCCTCACAACTGAATCCATAGATAGTTATTTGAGATCTTTCTTAGAAATAACTATATTTTAACTATCGTAATCCAATACATGTATCTGACAGTAATTTATTTCCTTCTTATAAGCTTCATAATTGAGTATGCAAAACTAAAATAATATCTATAAAAATTTGAGGAAAGCATATTGAACTCTTTGGAGAAATGGGCAACATCAGCAGTATTTAAAGATTTAACTAGGTGAATTGTGAACTTCCTGGTGAAACTAGTTCAGGGTAAAAATATTTTGTATCCTCAGAAATATACACTCTAACTTACAAATGTATAGTATGAAAGATACTTACGTTTTCTGTACTGAAAATTTCTATACCTGTAAAATTGGACAAATATGTTATGTTGATATGTATGTTTGAAAGACAATTACACTTCAAGTCAAAACTAAATGTCATTTATTTTAAGAGTGAAAAAGCATTCCATCAGTTAGACATCATTTTAAAGATTATCAGAAAAAAACATAATAGCCCATCATATGTGGAAAATGGCTTTTGAATTTTTATGAGTCTTTTGTATAATTCAAGGGAGCTTACTCATTCTTACGTATTACATACATGTTTGTCCCTGTAGAGAGGATAAGCCAATGGCAAACCTGTATGCATGATAATAAATTCATGGTAAACAAAAATGGTTGACAATTATGATTAGCAAAGCCTTCTGTACTTACACTTTCTGTGGTGATACAAACAAGTAGATCATCTGCCAAAATGCATATTCAAAGTCCATCTGACGAAACTTAAACAAGCGTTTAAGATATTTTTGTCTCTTTGCTGTGGCTGTGAGTCTGCTGTCATTTTTTGAGTCTTGTCTTGATAGTCGTGATCTGTTCCCATCATAATCCTGACTAAAGGATGATCCAATGGACGATGTAGGTGAGGAAGGCGGAGAAAGTCTGCTTGTATCAGCCATTGTTTTTTCTCATTGACCTCTTTTTTCCTTTAATGAATCATCTCTGGATAATCATGCCTTAAAAGATAAAAGAAGAAGAAATTGCAAAACAATCATTAAAATTGTGGTGGTCTTCTTTATCATACATGTACATATGTAGGCCAAGACATAATATTGGCCATCTAGAATGAGACAGTTGAAATATTAATGTTATCTGTCCATCAAGAAAAAGAAGACAGGGCTCATCTATGATTGCTAATGTTAATGGAGTCTCAGGAGATAACTCACTACTGACAAAATTAAACTGTGCTTATGATTTTCACAAATTTTAGTCAGTGTACTAGTGAACTCATTTAAAATAAACAACCTTTAGAAACAAACAATGATGATAATTTTCTCTAGAATTTCTTTTTATTATTTACTTCCAAATGAGAGGGTTATTTTTTCAATACAGTGACAATTCTAACTCAAATACACTTGGGCAATAATTCCAAAATATATTATGTCTGCTACTAATCTTCACTTTCAATTCATCTCATATCAGATCCACCACACTGAGTACAGAGATGATATTCTATATGAGAAAGCACTGTACACTTATTGCCACAGAAGAAAAGTCACTTATAGTTGTTTTCCAGTACAGGAATTATAATTCCTCTTCAGTGAAGTGAAGTTCACCGGACTCGTTGTTCGTTATTCTCGTAGTTCTGTCACTTCCTAGTGTAGCAAGGAAAAATGACAGAAGAAAGAAGCAGATGAAAGAAGAAAAGAATGGAAGAATAAAAATATCAGAAGAAGGAAAAGAAATAATAAATGAAACATAATGATTTGAGAAAATAAATTAATTCACCATCAGAACTTACGTATATAACTTACACCACTGACACTGTTAAACAACACCCCTCTTCCAAACTGTCTTAAGCTAAAAGGCTGTCACCCTTAATTTAAATGCATCGGTATAAACCTTCGCACAATGTCGACATCAATATAAGAAATTATGAGTTAGTGATACGCTTTAGTAGAATATTTACAAGTTGATGTTGAATTCTCAAGCGTCAAAATAACAGATAAATATGAGTAATCGACATTTGTTAGTTTACACGTTGTCAATCCAACTCACGACTTCCGCTACAAACATTTCTGCCGCAATGTACACATTCTGCAAAACACTTCACAATACTGAGAAAATACAAAGGAAAAAATGTCGACTTAACAGTCGATGTAATTGCTTTGCTAGCAGAGAATACAATCTTGCATTAGAATCTATATGTTACTCTAAAAGTGACATTATCTTACCTTTACCGGAAGTGAAATATCTGGAACATCGTTGTCAAAGAGACGTTTGAAAAAAAATATATATATACACCGTTTGGAAGAGTTGTCGATCCTTACACTCATCAGAAATAAATATTCATAGTATCAAAATTCAATTGTAGTGCACAGAATATTTAGTACATATGAAAAAAAGCTTCCACACGGCCACTTTACGATGCCAGGGTTATTTTTATAGTAATCGATTGACTAATATAATCTACACCGTACTCTAAATCTGTCTTTTAAAGTATTTTGGTAGAGTGTTTGGTATTAAAATAATATCTAAAAATTAAATCTAAATAAAAAATTAATATGTATTTCTGGTGGTAGAAACGTTGAATTCATTTGATGTATTATCGTAAAGTACATTACGTAGTAAAACAATAGGAAAATGTATCCGCATTGTATATGTATACCGGGAGGTAGGCTTGTGCGAATCTAAAATATTGTCGAACTTCACACAATTTTTTTCAAAATAAAATTGGACTTAAAGTGATTTAAAGGAGTAATGTGTAAACTGGTTAAGTCTATGGCTATATTAAATTCCTCTGCGTCCCTATTTCAGAATTAAATTTTGAGAGTGAACTTTAGAAAACAATATTATAGCTTTTTAACTTCGGTTGATAAAACCATGTAACAACCTCATCAAAAAGCTATTATTGTATAATATCACAAAATGTAATTAATTATAAGATTGCTGAATTTTCAATTTCAAGTTTCGTGTAGCTCTCAGCACAAAAATAAGTATACAAGGTGTACAGCAAAATCGTTATTGTGAGAAAGGGATAACCAGACAAGGTGTTTCGGAAGGATGACATACTCTTACCTTTGCGCTCAGTCTAACATTTCCAACTTATGGTTTGTCAACTTATAATACATCCATGTATATGGGACCATAGAGTTGGAAATTGGTGTCAAGCTCACGTAATGGCTGTACAGTGTAATGAGTTTGTGTTAATCTCCTGCTGTCTAGTGACAACAAAATAGCCAACCATACAAACAAACTACTCCGTACCACACACGGAAATAAAACTCGTTTCCAATTATGAATAAATCTTGCCCGATCTTCTTCATAAATCAGCATCTTCCAAAAACCTTAGAGTTTGTTCGTACCTCTGAAGTTCGACATTTTTCTTTCTTTGTCGAGTTTACTGCCTCGTCATCAACCCGGGTCATTTTGAGGTGGGATCTCCTTCCGGTAGCTGAGAGCTACCTCACTGAACCGCATGCGGGAGACCTATCGCAAGTTATTAAAAACAATTGCAGTAAAGGTCTTACCCGTGAGCGTAACAGCGACAGCACATGCAGAACTGTTACGATTGCAGCTTCCTCATCAACCTTCAGAGTAGGGATCGTACAAAGACACCGCGGATATTCACTGCTGAGGTTCGTGTTATTGCGATGTTCTGCCGACTGTGTTATTACGATCAATATCGTAAATAATAGTGTTACAAAGAAATTTAACGACTTTGTAATATATTAATTACCTGTCCCCAAAAGATATTCACCGCAGTCGGCTGCATAAAACAAAAAAGCTAATTTATTGAAGTCGACTAATTTTAAGGAAGATGTTATCAAATACTTGTTGTTCGCCTGTTTCATCTTTACATTGAGAATTTTCACAAAATATACCCCACAATGCTTATAATCGTAAATGGATTGTAATTTACCTTTCATACAAAGAATCTTGCAAAAAAAAAAAAAAAAAGAATTCAAAAAATACAAAAAATAAATAAATAAAAACAAAAAATATTGAGTTTGAAGTTATCTGACGATGTGTATTTTACATATAGAAACGTATTTATACACATTTCAACGTTTCTTCAGAAATTGCGATTAAAATCTTTGTCCGAAACCTTATGACGATTTGTGGTATTTTCCCCGTCATTGCGTCCTAAAATTAACTTCCAAAAATAGGGACAAAGAGAGAGTTCTGTATGGAATTAAATGAAGGGAAGACACGTCTTCGCATTCTAAATAAATAACGATAACAACTGGTTTAATGATGGACAGATGAAAAACAAGGACGATTTAAGTCCGTTACTTGTATATATCATTGGTCGTTATTACAAGACCTAATATCTACAGAGACCAATACCCTATCGACACTATATTCGGGAAAAGTACAGAAGATATGCTCAAGAATTTTTCATTATAAAATCGACCTGTTATTTAGTGATTCCAGCCATGCAATATATTATTCAAACACATGTCCAGCATACACTAAGAACATGATAATAAAAAAGTCGACACAAACTGAAACTTAAAAACATTTTTTTCTTTTATTTAAAAGGCAAACTTAAAACATATTCTTATTAAAACAAAAGACGAAACCCAAGGGCCTGAACGAACACCCGAGTGAACTCGCAAACGCAAACACATTGGAATGAATATGAAGTATAGGGTAGAGGAAATGAGAAATTCTATTTGTACAGGGACAGAAGAGTTTTTTGAAGTTGCAACTCATTATTGTACAACTTTAATGACATAATGGTGACCTAATAAACTATGTAAACTCCTCCCCCTCCTTCCCTTGGCTCATGGAATTTACAATATTGATAAAGTCCCTCTAGACCCTTCCATCCATCAAGAGTACTTGATTTTACAATACTCTGGGTATTGAAAAGAGTTAGGAAATTTTCGTCTATTTGACCCTGCCCATCAGCCCCCAGGGGTCAGCAGGGTCAACATATGCATATAACAGCAAACAGTCATCATATACTAATGATTCAAACAAGTTTGCCGTGAAATTCAAAATTTTGGTACAACACCTTAAAAACCTTTCCATCTAAGAAGAATATTCGATTTTACCATATTTGGGTAATGGAAAGAAGATTTTTGAATTTCCAGCCAGTTTGATCTGTCTTTGCCCCACAAGGCCCTTAGAGGGTGGGGACCATATAATTTTCAATTTTGGTTTAAGTTTGGCCACAAAAGGATTGAAATCAGTTCATTGGTTTTCCAGAAGAAGTTGAAAAGGTAAAACGTTTATGGATAGACGACACCAGACAAAAGGGGATTATGATATAGGTCATCACGAGACTCTGTCTCACGTGACCTAATTAAGAAGACTTGAACATTTTGAAAATATGCCAATTATAGTTGAACATAAAAATAGCAATCATCAAACGATACTCGGGAAACACGGAATCTGTTAAATTCTTGCCAAGTTTAGAATCAAAAGAAAACTTATTCAAGTTCAATATTTATAGACCAGTTAGATCAATGCGATATTAAATTAGAACCTTAGGGTATGTATTGCTTTCATCATCATAAAAAACGTCTTATGGACACACTGACCGTTGGACACAGTTTTACATGCAATGGGTATCTTAAGCACCAGTTACAATGGGTTCAAAGAGCACCATAACAGACAAATGCAACAGGACAACAACTATCATTTCACTTCAACTGGAGCAGCATAATACTTCAGGGAAACATTAAGACAGCTCTGGGAAACGTAGGAGCTCAAAGAACTATCAACAAAGCTTATCCACACATTTATAACATCTCCAGGAATTATGGAACATAGTTCTGGGAAACATCTCTTAGAACTCTAAAAAAAACATTCATCAAAGCCCTTTGAAACAGCCTACAGAGCTCGCAGAAACATTCACTAAAGCCCCAGAAATGACTATTAGAGCTTTCAGTAACATTCACCAATGCCCCCTGAAACAATTATTAGAGCTTGCAGAACATCCATCAAAGCACCCTGAAACCTTTATTACAGCTCACAGAAACATTCATTCTCTAAAAGAACC